GTGATTGATCCTGACTACCATGGGGAAGTTGGACTGCTACTTCACAGTAGGCAATGGAGGTAAGAACTACTACGTCTGGAGTATAGATGATCCCTGAGGGTATCTCTGAGTATTACTTACCATGCCTTGTGGTTAAAGCCAGTGGAGAACTACAATAACCCAATTTGGCAGGACTACAGATGTCCCATACCCTTGAGGAATGCAGTTTGGGTCACCCCTCCAGGTAAAGAACCACAACCAGTTGAGGTACTTGCTGAGCTCAAATGGAGTACAGAACAGGTAGTGAAAGAAAATAATTATGAATACCAGCTACGACCATGTGACCAGTTACTGAACTATAGAATGTAATTGTCATGAATATTTCTTCTTTATTTTTTATCACTATGTTTGTGGATGTATGTTTGTGTGTCTAAAATATCTCTGTTTTCTTCTCTCTCTTATCCTCCTATCATATAACATAAAATGTATTGACTTTATGTTATAGCATTTAAGTACTGTTAACTTTACATCATAGTATTTAAGTTTCTGGATATCAAGGAAGAGAGTAAAAATTACCCAAGGAGTTTGTATCCTCTACTAGGGAAATGGTTATTGCATTTTCAGTTGTATACACGATAGTTGTATCATGTTGAGTCAAAGTGGGACCTTGTAATTGTCTTTCTTAGGAATTTAAGCATGTTTTAAGGAGATGTTCTGGGTGCCAAGTTGATAAAGGGTGTACTTGTGATGGTTACTTTTATGTGTCACCTTGGCTAGGCCATAGCACCCACATATTTGGTCAAACATTATTCTGGGTGTTTCTGTGAGAGTTTTTTTTTTTAGTTAAGATTAACATTTAAATTAGTGGACTTTGAGTAAAGCAGATTACCCTCCAAATGTCAGTGGACCTCACCAAATCAATTAAAAGCATTGATAGAAAAAGTCTGACCACCCTGGAAGAAGAGAGAATTTGGCCTGTAGATGCATCTGGATGCCATCTGCACCTTTTTTCTGGGTCTCTAGCCTGCTGGCCTACCCTGCACATGTTGGATCTTCCAAGCTTCTAATCATGTGACCAATTTCCTTAAAACACATTCTCTCTCTCTCATTCTCTCTCTCTCTCTCTCTCTCTCTCTCTCTCTCTATATATATATATATATATATAAAAATATATATGGTCTATAGATACACATATATATGTAAACATATATATATACACATATATAGAATATATGTGTATATATACATATACCTATATATCTATATATCTGTATCTGTATCTGTCTATACAGTCTCTCTCTCTCTGTCTCTCTGTCTCTTTCTCTCTCGATTCTGTTTGCTTTGTTTCTCTGGAAAATTCTAGTTAATACTGCTTGTTTACCCAACACCTGTCTCTCTGGGAATTCCGCCCCCCCTCAATGCAAGGAGCGTAGACCAGAGGCCTAAGGAGGATTCTTCTTAAGCCAAATTCCAAATGCTATCAGCATTCACACTACAGAACTCCTAAGCATCCCTGTCAGAAGACAGGAAGGCAGCCAGCCAGGCCTGCACCCTGTTGAGAAGANAGTTTGGTTGTTACTTGGAAAGTTCAACATAAGAGTCATTTATTGAATGGAATACTGCAGCTGCTTTCTAACCCCAATCTCAGTCTTCTCTATTCTGTTCTCTACACAGCTGCCAGAATGATCTTTCTGGAAACAAATCAGGTCATGTCACCCCCAAGCTTAATGACCACGGTGGGCTCACTGTAGCCTACAAGGCATTCCAAAACCTGAGCATGGCAGACCAGAACCTCCGTGTCATGGCTGCTGCCTGCCTGTTCTCCGGTCACACAAACCACCACCCTGCCACAGGCACCTACTCTCCAGCCATGATAAACTAATCGCAGGTTCCCCCAAATACCTTGGCCTTTCATCATGCTCCAGATTCCTTCACGCATGCGTGCGCGCAGCATGCAGGGGGTGGGGAACTCATGCTCATCGCATAGATGTCAGGGGGAAGGGAAGCATTTGATGAAAGCCAACACCCTTTCATGAAAATAAATTCAACCAAATAGGAGTAGAAGGAAGCTTTCTCAGCCTGATAAACAGCATCTATAAAAAACATCTGGAGATGCGTTCTTGGCTATTCTCTACAGATATGTCCCCTCTACAGATACTGGTTGGCCTTCGTCAGCTGCATTGCTACAAAAGTAGGCCTATAGACAAGAATTTTGAAATGCATTTCTTTTTTTGTTAATTAAAGTTTATTGGGGTGACAATTGTTAGCAAAGTTACATAGATTTCAGGTGTGCTTCATGGTCATTATGTGGACAAGGTTAGGTTAGGGCAAGCAGAGAAGCACACTGTTTCCTTTTTTTTGTCACTATAATGTTAACTCTTAACTGACCTCATTTCTCTAGTAAAAGCCAAAATCATAAACTGGTTCAATGAATAATACCTACTTAGGCTCTATTGGTCCTTCACATAATCAGTTAAAATGATTCATTTTGAATACCTGTGAGAAATAGTCTTTTTAACTTTTTAAAGAAACTGTTCAATTACAGTGGACATATATTAGTTTCAGGTGTACAACATAGTGATTAGACATTTATATAACTTATGTCGTGATCACCTCGGTAAGTCTAGTACCCACCTGACATCATGCCTAGTTATTACAACATTACTGACTATATTCCTTATACTGTCTTTTTTCCTCTTCTTCCTATCTTTCTGTTTCTTTCTCTGGGTGTGGATCTCTCTCTCTCTCTCTCTCTCTCTCTCTCTCTCTCTCTCTCTCTCTCTCTCTCTCCCTCCCTCACACACACACACACACACACACACACTGGACTCTTTATTTCTGGACAATGAGAGTCTTTAATGAGTTTCAGGCTAGTGATTCTGAAATGCAGTGCCGTTGTGAGCTGGATGCAGGCAAATGAGGAAGCGCAGTACAAATGGCGGTTCCGGGACAATTCCTGAGCTGCACGGCCTTGCATTTTCCATTTGCACTGAGTTGCCTGTGTCTGGTGGGTGTGCTGGAAGCAGCCCCAGAATTTTCAGGTGAGTTGTTAATTTCTGACACTCTCTCTTCTTTTGACACTAGGACAGGCTCCATCCCTACCCACCACACATTTAGTTTTGCTTATTAGTAGTTATTAGATTTAATTATTTAGGTATTACTTATTACTACTGAGAAACGATCATAGAAAACATTTGAGTTGGTATTTCCTGAGCTCATCTGATCAGCACCACTGAAGAGGTAGGGGGTTGCACGGAGCCAAAGTTTCCTTAGAGCACAGACAACGGAGCTAATTTGGGAGTTAAATGTAAGGGAGAACAAGAAAATTGATATGAGAAGAGGACAGAATATGACAGGGGACTTTNAATAATGGCATTACCAGGAGTAGCAGTCACATTAAATAAATCAACAATTCCCTATAGTAAGAAAAAAACTGACTGAGCACAGGGGACTGTGGGAACACAGAACTAGGGAATTAAGAATAAAGGGAGCAAGAGGGAAGAAGTAAGTAGGAGGTGTGAAGACCAAAGCCAGTGGAGTGATGTGAGGAAGAGGTCATGAACCAAGGAATGCAGGCAACCTCCAGAAGCTAAAACAGGCAAGGAAACAGAGTCCCCACTAGAGCCTCCAGAAGGAACCAGCCCTGCTAACACCCTGACTAATGGCCTCTAGAAGTAAAAATAAATTCATGCTGTTTTAAGTGGGAAAAGAAAAGAGCAAAGGGAATTAAATAAGTAAGGAAATGCCTATAGAACAATGCATAGACTGCTCTGTGGGTCCAAGGGCGGAGAGATCTCATCTAGGAGGGCTGATCTGCAAAGGCTTCAACTTGCAGTGTTGGGGGGTTGTGGGTGCCCACCAAGAGCTAGAAACATGCAAAGATTTGAGGCAGAAAATTGCAAGAGGACATGTTCTGGGAAGAGAGAGAGAGGGGCCCTGCTTGAGCACAGAGTATGCCGATACAAGTAGTGGGAGGGGCAGTTTGAAAGCAGGACTAGGATGAGATGCAAATAGGTCACTGAGGCATCATCACCAAATTCAACTAGGTTGAACTAATGGATTGTGTAAAATACACCAGGCTGGGAAGTGAGACACTTGGTTTCATTCTAGGCCCAACTCTGCCACAGACTCACGTTTGGTAAGGTATGTGCTGACTCAGTTCATGTATCTGAACACGGGTTTCTTCATCTGTTCACTGGTAGCAGCACTCCCTTCCCTGCCTATGTCATGGGGCTGTTGTGAGAAGCATATGAGTCAGCGCACATGAAAACATCTTTGAACAAATCTTTAAAGTGGAGGTACACACAGGTAAAGGCTTATTATTGAGGAAACACGTGTCTCAGGAACACATTGACTGAAAAAGCAGGCGAGAAAAATTTACTGCAATACTCTGCTATGAGAATCTAACAAATTTCCCAAATGAGCTGTTAGGCAACATGGTGAATGAATCACTAAACGCCTATCAACTTGGAACTTCCATACGTCACATTTATATACAATAAAAATAGATTTCCTGGTAGACTACTGATAATTGTAAAGCAGGAATTATTCTTTTAGAAATGTAAAAGCTTAAGAGGACAGACAAAAATATGCCAGTTTTCATTGTTCTTCATTCACTGACTACTTTGCTGTGTACAGCAGAGGTGACAGCTACAATTTCTGCCCTCAAGGAGACCACCTTCTATGGTGAGAGACAGACATCTCAACAGACAATTGTAATACCAGTTGAGCACAAGTGTCCTGTGGGAGCTCAGGACAAGGGCACCAAACCCAGTCTTCTGCAGCAGAGGCTATATTCATATGAAGTGGTACTGTTGCCCTGATTTTACAGACAAGGAAACTGACACTTATCACATGACAGAGCCAGTCCTGTAACCCAAGTCTTTTAACTCTGGGGCCAGGACTTTTTCGCCCTCACCGAAGCTGCCTCTTTTATTTTGTAAATGTGTTAGGCCTAATGCACATGGTGGAAGGAAAGTTATTTTGTGGGTTCCTGCCCACTCTAGACTGCTTACTCCTTTCTAGTGATAGAAATTNGCGCCCGGCCCGTGCTGGGGCCCCGGCGGCTGTGGCGGGGGCGGCGGCTGCACCGGGTGGCTGCCGTGCTCCCGCGCCAGGCGCTGCATGCGCGTGAAGACGGCCAGGGCGGCGGTGTAGTCGCGTGCCAGCAGCTGGCAGGAGGCGGCGTCGCCGAGCGCCTGCAGCGCGGCCAAGGGCAGCTGAGGCAGCTGCAGCTGGGCGGCGCGCTGGAAGTGGCCGGCGGCGGCGGCCGGCTGACCCAGGTCGCGCAGGGCGGCGGCCAGCTCCAGGCAGAGGGCGGCGGCGGCCGCCGGCTGGCCCAGCTGGAGGTGCAGACGCACCGCGGCGCCCAGAGCGCTAGCGGCGGCCTGCAGCGGCTCCCCGTAAGCGGCGGGGCAGACGAGGCGCTGGCGCGCGTCGCGCTCCTGCCGCAGGAAGAGGCGCGCGGCCTCGGTGAGCGCCAGCGCCTCCCCGGGCCCGTGGAAGAGCGCCTGCTGGCAGCGCGCCACCGCCAGCTGGCACCAGGCCGCGTATGGCAGGCATTCCTGAACGCGCAGCTCGCGGCCGAGCTGTCCGAACTGTTCACCGGCCTCCGCCACGTTCGGTTTCCGCAGGAAGCGCTTCTTCAGCTTGTTGGACACCTGGCGGTACCTGGCCAGGAAGTCCCCGGCCTCAGGCCCCTGGCCCGCACCGCCTCCCAGACCGCTCGCGGACGCAGCCATGTTCGCAGCCCGAGCGATTCTGCTGGGCGGATGTGCAGGCGCTGGCAGCAGGTTGGGACTTGCCCGGCATCCTTCTCGGGTCTGGCCGCGCCACCGCGCCCACTCAGGAGCCCAGCGCCACCACATTGCCCTGGTGATATGCAAAATAGCGGGTTCCTGGGGGCGGGGCCATATGCACATGCAAATCACCGATCCAGAGATGGGACCTGGCCTTGTGCCTGCTGTTGTTAGTTGGTGACAGCTTGTTTATCAAGGTTCCTATGGGCATCTCCTAGCATCTCTAATGGAACAGGACAAAAATGAAACTCGTGATTGCGCGTGATCTTCATTTCAACTTCGTTTTTCTTGTTTTTAAATGAAAGGCTTTTTATTGTTTAAAAATTGAAAAAATTATAAATGAGGTAAAACCCTGGCCAATAGAACGCACTATAACATATAGTTATCAGATGTATAATAAAAAGGTTATGCGACAAAAAGTTCATTTAGGAACTGAAGAGTACTTGAAATTACAGGCTCACATCTTCCCCAGTATTTCAGGCTTGTAACTTAATATGAAAAACAAGTTAACTTTGTATCTTTCTTGATTGCTCCCCCCATCATTCCTCAATCTTCCCATCCAAGCTGCTGCCCCATTGAAGTCCATGCCAACCGCTCTGTCCACCCCTCCATCCTCCAGCACCCCGGTCGCCATTGCAAGTTCACCCTATCACCATGCCGCAGTCATGGTCTTGCGCTCCAACCCAAGGAACTTTATCCTTCTGGGGACTTTGCCAAGGTCTGACTTACTCAGAGGCGATAGGGGAGTCTTCCATAAGTCAGCCTCACCCCCACCCCAGCCAGCCTCTCCCACCCAGGTGCACCCCCTGCACTGTCACCATCGAGAGACTGCTCCTCTCTGTCAACCCCGACTCCAGCCCCCTGCCCCCAGGCAGACACCCCCTCCATTCCCACCCCTCCAATGAGTTATGTCCCATGACCACCTCCCACGCAAAGTGACTGAAGAATGCACATGGGTCTCCTTAAACAATTTATTGATTTTTTCAATGCTGTGTCCCAAGTCACAAGACACGTCCAGGCTGCCCGGGCTTTGAGCAGGCCTGGGGACCCAGGTGGGTCATGTTGGGAAGTTACTCCTGGTGCGTGAGCACCTGGCAGATGGTCGTATTCCAGAAGAAGGCACGAAGCTGCAAATTATTGTGGATGGCCATGTCCAATGACTCCGGAGTAATTCGGCTCTGACCGCGGTTCCGGGCCTCCCTGCCTGCCAGCTCCAGGACCTTGGCGGTGATATATTCGATGATAGCCATGAGGAAGATCGGAGCGGAAGAGCTGAGGTGCTGGGTGTAGTGGCCGTCCCTCAGGAGGGACTCCATGTCCCTCGCAGTAAAGGACAGGCCATAGATGCTGGTGCGGGAGCGGCTCCGCCTCTGGCGATGACCCGATGACCCAACCCGGTGTCTTTGCCCCCGCATGCTGGGCGTTGGGTGCGCTTTCTCCGACCGGCCTAGCTCTGCAGTGCTGCGCGGTGCGGTTCAGTGCGGTTCGGTGCGATTTAGTGGGTGAGGGAAGGTGGGAAGCGGTAGGGTGAAGCGAGATGAAGGAAGGTACAATGCGCCAGCTGGTCCCAACTTGTGCAGATAGAGGTTCGTCAGGTCCCTATTCCGTAGCCTAGCGACCGCGGACCGGCCGCTCATTGGCTGGACGCCTTCTGTCTCGAGTGTTCATTGTGTGAGGTCCCTGCTTTCCCATTGGCCCCCAGCGGGCCTGGGACTACAAAAAAAAATGGCGCCTGAAGCAGCCTGCTCACCCTGCTCACTGGAACCTCTCTTTGAGGGAACTCTCACTTTCCACTGGACCTGAACGTTGTAGGGAAAAACAAATGTGTCCGATCCAGTGGCACTGAGTATATATATATATACTCGTGGTGTTGGACGGTCATCACAACTCTCTAGTTCCAAACCCTTGGCACCACTGCAAAAAGAAACCCCTGTACCCATTGGGCAGTCACTGATTCCTTCTGTAACCCCCACATCCCCTCCCCTGCCCCACCCCTCGGCCCCAGGCAACCACTAGCCTGCTTCCTGTCCATAGAGGTTTGCCTATTGGGGAGGCTTCTTAGAGATGGAATCCTACAACAAATAGGTGACCTTTTGTGCTTGGCTGCTTTCACTTAGCATAATGTTTTCGTTAGGGTTCATCCATGTGGTAGCATGAATCAGCACTTCATTCCTTTTCATGGCTGATTAATAATCCATTGTATGAATAGAGCACATGTTGTGCATCCACTTGTTCATCAGTTGATGGACATTTAGGTACTTTCCACATTTTGGCTATTGTGAATAGTGCTGCAGTGAAAATTCTGGTACAGGGTTCCGTTTGAACGCCTGTTTGCAGCTCTTTGGGGTATATATCTAGGAGTGGAATTGCAAGGTCATATGACAATTCTGTGTTCAGCTTACTGAGTAAATGCCCAACTGATTTCCACAGTGGCCCACCACATTTTGCATTCCCAACAACAGTGTATGAGGGCCCAATTTCCCCACATTCTCCCCAAAACTTATTTTCTTTTTGTTTTGTTTTGCTTATGATAGCCATCCCAGTAGGAGGGAAATGGTATCTCATGGTGGTTTTGATTTGCATTTCCCTAATGGCTAATGATATTGAGCATCTTTTCATGTGCTTCTTGGCCATTTGTACATCTGCTTTGGAGGAATGTCTATTCAGGTCCTTTGCCAATTTTTTTTTTAACTGGGTTGGTTGTCTTCCTTTTGCTGAGTTGTAAGTGATCTTTATGCATTCTGGAAAATAGATTGATATCAGATATATGTTTTGCAAATCTTTCTGCCATCCTGTGAGTTGTCCTTTCACTTTCTAGCTATTGGCCTTTGATGGACAAAGTTGTTTTCTTTTAATTTGAATGGCATACAGTTTATCTTTTCCTTTGTCTTTTGTGGCTGTGCTTTTGCTCTCATATTTTGTAACTGTTGCCTAATTCCAACGTCATGGGGATTTACATCTATCTTTTGTTCCAAGAGTTTTATAGTTTCAGCCCTTACATTTAGGTCTTTGATATATGTTAGAGTCAATATTTGTACATGGTGAGAGATTGGGGTCCATATTCATTCTTATATCTCTGGATATCCAGTTGTCCCAGCACCATTTGTTGAAGAGATTGTTCATTCATCCATTGAATGGTGTCGGCACCCTTATTGAAAATCAGCTATTGATAGATATAGGGGCTAATTTCTGACTCTAAAGTCTAAAACATTGTCCTGTATGTCCTGTATGTAGTATTATGATGCTACTACTACACTTTTTAGGATTGCCTTAGCATTGTAATAAGTTGTGAAATTTGGAAGTGTGACTACTCCAACTTTGTTGTTTTTCGAGGTTGTTTGGCTGTCTGCATCCCTTGCATTTCCATGTAAATTTTAGGATCAGCTTGTCAATTCTTACAAAGAGGCCAGCTTGGATTGTAACAGGCATAACATTGACTCTGTATATTGCCTTTCTTAATGGTATTAAATGTTCAATCCACTCATGGGATGCCTTTCCATTTATTTAGGTCTTCTTTAATTTCCTTCCGCAATGTTTTACAGTTTTCAGAGTACAAGTCTTGCACATTTTTGTTAAATTTATTCCTCAGTATTTTATTGTTTTTTGATGATACTGTAAAAGGAATTAGTTTAACCTCATATTTGGACTGTCATTGCTCATGTATAGAAATACAACTGAATTTCTGGTCAAGATGGAAGAGTAGATAAACACTGTGCTTTATCTACTGTGGTCCTCTCACAACCACATCAAAAGTACAATGTACAGAACAACCATCACTGAAAATCACCTGAAGTCTAGCTGGATCGAAGCCTTATAACTAAGGACATACAGAAGATGCCACCTTGAGATCGGTAGGAGAGACAGAGATACAGAATGGGTTAAACCCACACCCGAGTGTGACCATTAAAATCGGGAATGACATCTTGGCTGCAGAGGTCCCTCTGGAGGAGCGAGGGGTCACAGCGCCCCATGAAGCTCTCCTGTTTAGAGTTTCAGTGCCACGGAGAGAAGTCCCCATAATTTCTGCTGTGAAAACCAGCGGAGATTGTGGCTAAGTGAGAAGAAGGTGGCTGCAGTCCCAGGCATTCCTCTTAAAGGATCCATGCATGGACTTACTTGCTGATGGACTCACTCACTCTGAGCTCCAGTGTTGGGCAGCAGCTCAAAAGGTGCCAGGAACATACTGGGAGAAACTGAGTAGTCTGTCTTCAGGGCAAGGGCTGGAGGGGCAGCTTTCTCCCAGACAGAGGAGCTGGCAGAAGCCATTGTTACTTTTGTTGAGCCCTCCCGCTTTTCGGCATGCAGATGCAGCTGGCTGCCATATCTGAGTCTCCATTAAGCTGGCTACCACCGTTCATTCACCCCACCCTGGAGATTCTGAGACACCATCACCCAACTTTTGAGTACATCCAATCAGCTTTTCCATACAAACTGCCTGCCTTAGCTCATGCTGTACACTTTCCTAAAAATTTCACAAAGGTTCACAAAACCCAAACAAGCAGCATCTGGCTTTGGCATGTCCTATATACGTTGGACTTAGCAGCTCCAAACTCAGCAGTAGTGAAAGCCAGCCTTGGTTCATGGCTTGGCCTCTCAAGGCACCTCCAAACACAGTATAAGCATTGGACAACTGTGAATTGCTTTGTGGCTCATGCCAGGTGGCTCCAGGCAGGGCACAAACTGTGGCTGAGTTCAGCCAGTAGTGGGTCCCCTGCCAGGAAGTGTCGGGGCTGGCATGCCTGCCTCCCAACTTTGGACCAAGCCAGAGCATTACCCAGTCATCTCTAAGGATGATGCACTCAAAGCGCCAGAACCCTGCTAAAATGAATCCTGCTCTATAGGGTCAGCCCCTGCACCACAACTCCTCCACTGTAGTCATGGCCAGTCCTAACAACCAATGAGGCTGAGGGTTAATCCTTCCCACTGATGTGGAAACAGCAACCAAGTCTCAATTACAACAGGAGGACAAATAACCCACACAAAAGATACACCTGGAACACTCAGTTCCAGTGATCAGGGAGACTGTGCAACTGGGCGCCACAGGACACCTACTACATAAAGCCACATCTACTGAGAATGGGAGGCATAGCAGCCCTACCTAGTACATAGAAACAAACACAGGGAGGCAGCCAAAATGAGGAAACAAAGAAACATGTCCCAAATAAAAGAACAGGACAAAGCTCCAGAAAAAGATCTAAACAAAATAGAGACAAGCAATCTACCATGTGCAGAGTTCCAAAGTCTATAAGGATACACAATGATCTCAGGGAGAATTTTAACAAAGAGATAGGAAACATAAAAATGGATATAGAAAACATAGAAAACAACCAGTCAGAAATGAAGAATACAATAACTGAAATGAAGAGTACATTAGAGGGAATCAACAGATTAGATAATGCAGAGGATCAAATCAGCAATTCAGAAGATAAGGCAGCAGAGGGTACCCAATCAAACAGCAAAAAGAAAAAAAATACAGAAAAGAGAGGGTGGTTTCAGGGCCTCTGGGAAAACATCAAGCATATCAACATTTGAATCATAAGGGTACCAGAAGGAGCAGAGAGAGAGAGGGAGAGAGAGAGAGAGAGAGAGAGAGAGAGAGAGAGAGAGAGAGAGAGCGAGCGCACAAGGAACTGAGAACCTATTTGAAGAAATAATGGCAGAAAACTTCCCTAACCTGGTGAAGGAAATAGACAAACAAACCCAGGAAGCACAGAGAGTCCCAAGCAAGATAAACCCTAAGAGGTGAACACCAAGACACATTATAATTAAAATGCCAAAGGTTCAAGACAAAGAGGAAATCCTAAAAGCAGCAAGAGAAAGACTACTAGTTACTGACAAGGGAGTTCCCATAAGACTCTCAGCTGATTTATCAACAGAAACTTTGCAGGGCAGAAGCGATTGGCAGGAAATATTCAAAGTGATGGAAATTAGGACCTACAACCAACATTACTCTACCCAGGAAAGCTATCATTTAGAATCAAAGGACAGATAAAGAGCTTCCCAGACAAGAAAAAGCTAAAGAAATTAATCACCACCAAACCAGTATTATAAGGAAACTTAGAGGGACTTCTTTACAATGAAAAAATAAAATAATAAAAAATATGAATAAAATGGCACTAACTACATACCTCTCAAGAATTACTTTCACTGTAAATGGATTAAAAGATCCAATCAAGAGACATAGGGTGGCTGAATGGAAAAGAAAACCAGACCCATACATGTGTGGCCTATAAGAGACTCACTTCAGATCAAAAGGCACACACAGACTGAAAGTAAAGCAATGGAAAAAGATATTTCATGAAAGTGGAAATTAAAAAAAACCCCACAAATGAAAAGCTGGAGTAGCAATACTTATACCAGACAAAATAGACTTTAAAACAAAAGCCATAACAAAAGACGAAGAAGGACCCTGTAATCCCACTTCTGGGTATTTATCTGGAGAAACCCAAATGCTACTTCAAGGGGACATGTGCATCCATGTGTTCATTGCAGCATTATTTACAATGACCCAGATATGAAGGCAACCTGGGTGTCCCTGAATGGATGAGTGAGGAGGTGGCACATACATACAATGGAATATTACTCAGCCATAAAAAAGAATGAAATCTTGCCATCTGCAATGCCATGGGTGGACCTAGAGGGTATTGTTCTGAGTGTGGTAAGTTAGACCAAGACAAATGTCATATGATTTCACTTATAAGTGGAACCTAAACAACAAAATAAACAAACAAATGAAAGAAACAAACTCATCAATACAGAGAATATTTTGATGGTTGCCAGATAGGAGGGGACTGGGGATAGGTGAAAAGGGGAAGGGATTAACAAGTACAAATAAGTTGTTACAGCAGTCATGGAGATGTAGGGTATAGCATAAGGAATATAGTCGGTAACATTGTGATAACTATGGTGTCAAATGGGCACTAGATTTGTTGGGGTGATAGGTGGGAGGGTGGTTGGAGGACAGGGTGAAAACGGTGAAGGGATTAAGAAATACAAATTGGTAGTTACAAAACAGTCATGGGGATGTAAAGTAAAGCATAAGGAATATAGTCAATAATATGGTAATAAGTATGTATGGTGCCAGGTGGGTAACTAGACTACTCAGGGATGTCAGTTCTTTCTTTCTTTNCCCCCCCCACCTTTCCCAAGCATTTGTTGCTCTTCTGGGGACATGAAGGTGTATGATTATTTGCAAGAGGAAGGTGTATGATGTTGGAGAACCGGTAAAACAAGAAAAGAATGTCAAGAATAAATGGCCTGTGAGGTCTTCTGAGAGAGATAACAAGCACCTCTTTTTTCTAAGGGCCTAAGTATTGTTTGGCTTTTGTGAATGTTTCAGAGGCAGGTCTCTTCCTGTTGATACTGAAAATATCCCAGAGCCCAAGTTATAGAAAACTATTTCAGAGAAATGAATGGGTTCCAGACCAAATACTTCCCTGGAGAACAGAAAGATGGAGTGTTCACCAGCAGAGCAAAGATCTTCAACAGTTACCTTACTGTAGTCCAGATGTCTTGTCAGTGGGGGACACATTGGCACACTTTATCTGATTTGGAGGATTCCATGCCTATATTAACAAAATTCGCTACAAATCTATCTTCGCAGGCGGTTTATGTAGCCGCAGCTCTCCACAGTCCTTCCCTCTGCTGCCCTCCAGAGGACTCTCGGGGATATTACATAAAGTGACACTGGTGAACATCTACCTTGGCCTAAGAGTCAGGAAAACGTGTTCTTTCCTTACAGCACAGATAGGGAAATTGTGCTGAATGAAAGGCAGATACTTGAGAACGGGAACAAGCAAGTGGCAAAGCCAAGTCCACTCTTTTGATAATATAGGTATTTGGTGTCCGCAGCATCACTAGAATGGATGAGACCATTGTCTTCCTCACTGGTTTGCAGTTTCTCCTGAAGCAAGCCCTTGGCCCATGATTTAGTGTTGCAAACTTAGAGTCCCTGTGAATTAGTTGAGTCAATAGTTTAAGTGGCAAATTTAATGCTACTCCCTTTTCCTGTTTTGTTTCATTTTTGAGGATTGTATTTTTGTTGTTGTTGAAAGTTTCATAAGGTTCTTGTTCAAACTTTAGAAAACATGATCATACCCAAAGCCATACCAAAGGGTCCAGAGCCAACCTCAGGATTATTATTCTCTTTGAATAGAAGAGAAACCGCAGACACAGAGAGGTTTAGTAATTGAGGGAGGAAGGAAGGTGGAGGTCAGTGCTTGAGGCCTAGTACCAAGTAGCAGATGTGAGGAGGAGGCATCAGGGTGTAGTAAATAAGAGATGAAGTGTAGAGGTAGGTCAGGAGGTAGAGAGCACAAAGGATGCGGTTTACCAGTTCAGGGCAGAGGACCTGAGGACATGTTGG